TAGTTAATGAGGATTTAAAGACTTTTATCACGTGCCAAATAATTAATATTCGGACAAACAAGTGACAACTAGATACTAGGTAGAATGGGATTGGTGCCTGCCAATTTAACAGAAAAGAAAACGTTCATAAAATATTTTTACTTGGGTTGTTTGTTATATACATATGTACATGAATTTATTATATGGTAAAATAATTCTTGCTGTTTTTTCTCTATATGGTTTGGTGAAGCCGAGATGAGTTTAGTATAATCTTTAGTTTTTGGTCACACTTTATTTCTTTTTCTCAATTCATATTTTATAGGTACAACACTTGAATTGATATAGAATTTTTTATTTTTTATTTTTTATATCTATATGAATAGATTATAAATTAATATTATAATATTTTAATTTTTTTACTGATGCCTTTTAGAAAAAATCTAGAATACTCAAAATAAAATAATAAAATAAATTATATTTATTAAAAAGTACAAAATTATATGGATATGATTCTCATCTTATACAAAATTTTTGTAAATGAGTTTTCAGATTTTCTTTTATTATTTCATCAAACACAAAAAAATTCTAAGAAAGTCTTTATAAATATATTTTTTACATATTATATTTATATAATAAAAACTCTTACCATCATTTGAAAATAAAGAAAAGATATATTAAGCACCACAAAATAATTAGTGAATCTAATCTAAATAACTAAAATATATGTTATATAAACCCAATAGCTTATATGCTTAGAGTTAACATTAACCTAAAAACCCATACAAGAATAAATCAAATGTTTCATAAACAAATTGGGCAACATATAGGTCAAATTCGAATTAGCTAAAAAATATATGTCAAACATTTATATGATAGTTTACTACACACCAAATAATTTTTAATTATTTAAATTAAAAAAAAAATATTTTTCCTTTCATTTTTTAACTAAAATAAACTCAAAGGTAAAGGACTTGAGGAAATTGGGTTTTTGGGACACAGAAATAAGTTGGGTCCAAGAAAACCTTTAAGCCCATTCCTCAATTTTCTCCGTCTTTTTTCCTATTTTTAAAAAATTTTCTTTTCTTTTTCTCCCATCTCTTTTTATATTTTAA